CCCATTGGCCGCCACCGTTCCGGGCCTCAGGCGGCGAGCTGGGGAACTACTGTGTACACTCAGAACTTTGGAGATGGGCTCCAGGCTGCTCCTGGAGTAGGCCTCTCCCGCTTTAGACCTTCTGTCCCGGTCTTGGCCTCGGAGCGCCTACTGCTCTGAGAGTTTCCTGCCTTCTAGAAGTCTGCGGAGTTCCTACAGTCACCAGACCGACAGGGCCTTAGCGTGAAGATTACTGTCGAGTGAGGGCCAGAGAAAGCCAGCTGACACTAGGGCTTTTGCAAGAATTTTGCTGGGGAGGTTAGGGTTATTGGGAATTGAACCCAGGGCCTTCTCGCTGAGCTGTGTCCCCACCTCCCCAATTCCCACTTTTTTTTTTTTTTTTTTTTTTTGGACAGAGTCTCGTTAAATTGTCAAATTGCCCTAACTGAGCTTGGATTTGCTGTTCTCCTACATCACGCGTGGCTGGTATGATTTTTACTTAGTGTTATCAGCATTTTCCCCTATTTCTCCTACATCTGGTCTGATACTGTATTATTGGTATTGGAACTGGTGGGTTTAAAGGTTTGTTTTTTGTTTTGTTTTGTTTTTACCGTGTGTGATACTGAAGATTGAATTCAAAGCTTCCCATACACTAGGCAAGGGCCCTAACACTTCGCTGCATCCAGCCCATTTGGGTTTTTAGACAGGATCTTGTTAAATTAGCTAGACTGGCCTTGAATTTGCATTCCTCCTCCCTGAGCCTCCCAGTGACTGGGATTACACCATGCGCCCCAGCGCCGGGTTTATAGCAACGCTGCAATGTAAAACTTCTTGCTGTGTTGGAAATATTCTACATGTCTGCCTTAACACGGTAGCCACTGGGGGCTATTGAGCCCTGCTCAAATGTACCTGCTGCTACTGAAGGACTGAATTTTCAATTTAATTTCAATGTGAGTAGTCGCTCCAGCTGTTAACAGCCACACTGGGCACAGGACTGGGAAGAGACCATTAAGTGTGCTTGTAACTGAGTGATACACCAAGCTTAGTGCTAAAACCCTGAAAATCCTAGTCAAAACGCTGAATTTAGGAATCCCATCCGAGCTGGATGTAGTGGTGCACGCCTGTAATCCCAGCACTGGGGAGGCTGAGGCAGGAGGATCGCTGTGAGTTCAAGACCAGCCTGGGCTACATAGTGAGTTCTAGGTCAGTCAACTACATAGTGAGACCCTGTCTCAAAATAAACAAACAAACAAAAAAGAATCCCATCCAGTTTCTGACATGGCCAGGGCAATTGTAAGGGCTACTCTAGTAAGCATCTTGATACCACTGTTTGGCTGTAAAAAGAATTCAAGCTCAAGCCGCTTTCTTACCAGTATCTGAATAACAAATTTGGTAGAAAAAATTGCTTCTGGGCTGTTTTGTATCGTCCTACTTTACAGGTTATCATTTCTGCCTTGTAAATGCAGAGCTACTGCATTAACTCCTGTTTGATTTAGGGTCCTAATTTATGTTTCTGAGGGTTCTTATAGTTACTTTTTACCTCATCTTTTTTTTTTTTAGTTACTGTTTTGTGTTACTAAATTTGCTTGTGATAGCTAAATTTTGTTTCATTTTTGTAACCTACAAACAAAATAGAAAATTTGATTTATGTAATAATAAATGTATTTTTAAAAGAGAAAATAGGTTGTCTTAATCTTCTCAAATGTCATTATGTAACTTTTAAGTCTATGTCTTAGAATAACCATTATGTTTTTGGTGGATATGTACATTGTTAAACTTCTGTAGAAAGCAACATAGCATAACCAACACTACACATGTACATAATCTCTAACCCTACAAGTTAATCTCTAGAAACTTATCTTAAATGTACAGTAGCCTTGGATAGACATTAATGTTCATTGCAATTTTGTTTGCAATAGTAAAAAAGGGGTGGGAGGTTCAAAAGGCATATTAAATAAATTAGAAGCCCTTTTCCCTTACCTTCTTTTCTCTTCCCTTCCTGGAACCATTAAATCATAAAGGTCAAGAAGAGCAAGGTAGTCATCTGTGATTGGTGGGGTCAGAGAGCATTCGCACGGAGGGGAGTAATGTCAGCCTGATGCAGGTATTGGGTCCTCAGTAGGATTAGAAGGGTTCCATGCAGGTGCAAGAACAGCAACAGGAATTTGCTTACATTCAGATGTACTGATCAGATAAGAAAGTATATTAAAGAGAATTAGGGTCCAGTGCCTCACTGTCAGAAATATGAAAAGAAATGAACTCTCTATCATGTTAGATTAGAATGAGAAATAATGCAAACTCATGGCTTAAAATATATAGAGAGATAAATAAATGTAGATGTAAATATATATGTATTTGTGTGCATGTGTTTCTCCTGGTTCTGTCCACTGAGGCCTGCTTTCAAAGGTACCACAATAGTAATGAGCACACATAGTGATCTTGGCTTCTAAGTATCACTCTCCACTAAACAGAAGCAAGGATCTGACTTAACCAATGAAACAGGAGAAGTGCAAGTTGATCCTGGATTATCTTGTGCCAGAAAGTAAGGAAGTGCTCCAGGAATGATAGGGACATATCAGGACACAAGCCAGCTTGAATAGTTTTCCACTTGTCCGACCCAAGACTACTTGAGATCAAAATAAATAATAGTGGCTAACAAGCTATAAGCCATTGAATATAACAAACCATAAGTCATTGTAATATATTTAAATAAATGAATAAATTGATAAGAAATATGATATTTGCATATTTTCAAAGATACCTGCCACCAAAATGTTTCTTAATTACAAACTTCAAAAAGAAAATTTACAATGGAGAAGTCTTCAGATCCCGTGTTAATTAAATGAACATGAATGTCATCATAACACAATGCACAGAAATTGAGTGACACCTGATAGAATGCAATTAGAAGAACCCTGCATCAGTTCTGTCACATTTCTGCCAAATTAATATTTTATACTAATGTATTAGGAAATATTAAGCCAAATTAAGTTCATTGTACAAATTCTCTACCCTATAATCTTTAATAGGGCTGCAGCTAGAAAAGTCAAAAAAAGATTGAGAAGCTATACTTGACATAAAGAACGTTACTGGGACAACTAGCAAAATTTGAAAGGGTTCTTAAAATTAGGTGTTATAATATATAATGTTAATTTCCTGATTTTGATAATTGTGGCTGGGTAAGAACATTTTGATTTTTAGGAAATACAATGGAAAGTATTCAGGAGTCACAGGACATTGAATCAACCTTCAAGTGGCTCCAGGGGAAAAAAAAATAAGGTAAACTTTATATTATGTTAGCAACTTTTTTTTGCAAGCTTAAAATTATTTCAAAATCTAAAAAATATATTGAAGAAAACTAGAGGAGAAATGCTATACAATCCCATGCACGTGAAATCTTACGTACTGTATGGCACAATTGCCAAGGTAAGTGGAAAAAAATTGTGCATGCATCTGTATAAACGGTCTCTAGAAGGAGTAACCACAAAAAGGGTCACTTTGGTAGAAGATGAATTAGGTAGTATGGGAACAGCACTCGATGAAAGATTGTTTCTTGTCAGTTTTAGTACTTCTAAAGTTTTGTTCATGAGACTTCTTAAGAAATGGAAAGATAGACCTGGGGCTGTAGCTCAGTGGCACAGCGCCTGTCTTGCAAGCACAAAGCCCCAAGTTCGACTCTCAGTACCAAAAAAAGACAGTTTGTGGTCAGCTATTATCAGGCTTGAGATATTTGTGAATTCCACAAAACAGAGTTTTGTAAGTATGTATTTTTTTCTGAAAGTCATAATTTGTATTATTTTTCAACAGAAGTCTATGATTCAAAAGATTAAGAAGCATAATATTGAAATTAATTTTTTAAATGCCTTCCTCCAAGTCTGAGTTGCATTAAATCTGCTTTTTATCTCATATATATAGAATATGTGGAAAAACAAAGCAAAACAAAAAGCAGTAATTCACTGTGGTAGACACTAGAATAAACAAAACTGACTGGAATATCACTGTGCTTAAAGAATAGGACATAAAAACGTGTATAATAAAAATAAATATTAAAGGAAATAAAGTAGAGGGGTTTGGGAAGCATTAAAAATAAAACATACTCTACCCAGGGATTTTGAGAAAAGTCAAAAATTTCTTCAAAGAGGAGGTAGTTTTTGACTGATGTCTTACAGAGTAAGTAGGAATTCGCCCAACAGCAGCTCTAGAATGGCTAAAAGTAAGTAGCAGCAGTCTAGACAGAAGGAAAGACTACAGAACTTGTCTTAAAACTGCAATTGCATGGCAAGCTTACTATTTTTACTTCGAGCTTGTTATTTGTGCTGATTGAAATATGGTGCTAAAGCCAATTCACCTACTTAGTACTCCATGCTAAAAAGCCTCAGTTTTAGCCTACAGGCGGTGGGTAACAGTTGAAGGACATGAGCAGGACAGTGACATAATCGTGTGGGCATTTTAGGAACTCTAGCAGCAAGGACATTTGGGGTGCAGGCTAGAGACTGTGGTAATTAAAAGACAATAAAGGCTTAACTGGAGGCTATGGTTAGGGTGGGAAAGAAAGATTTGATAAAAGATATGTATGGTACAGAAAGAACAACAACTGGTGGTTAGTTAGATCTGAAACATGATCCAGCAATGGTTACAAATTTGGAGAACTGAGTAAGTTATAGGCCATAGACAGGAATAGGAATACAGGAAAAGGACAACATTTGAAGTGGAATGGAAATAATTCAGCTGGAATCATCAGCTCAGAATCTTTTGGTAGAGACAGTAGGAAGAATTTTAAGCTTCAGATTAGATGCCTGGTGGAGGTAACTGGACTAGGGATTTAGAGCTGCAAATCTTTGAGGCTTATGTGTTTTTTATTTACCTGGAAGGTAAATAAGTCACCCAATGAC